CTCCTCCTCCTCCTCCTCCTCCTCCTCCAACCTGGACTTCCTCTCTTCCTCCTCCTCCCGCCTCACCTCGTGCCACGCCACCCCTTCTCCCTCCTCTTCCTCCATCTGGTATATAAGATGACCCCCGACTTCCTCCTCCTCCTGCCTCCCGCTGCGCCACCCCTTTTCCCTCCTCCTCCTCCACCTAGCATATAAGATGACCCTTGACTTTGAAAAAGATTTTCCTGAGTTAAAAAGTTATCTTATACGCCAAAAAATACGGTAAATAAAAAATCCCAGAAAACTACAGCAACAAATGCTGCAGCCTTATGAAACATTTGCCCTCTCTTGAATTGTGCAAGAAACACACAACTAACATAACACTTTGTACCTGATGAGTCCTGTGCAGATGTAACACAATTTCTCTGCAAATGTGGTTGGCACACCAGCAACCCTGAGAATGTCCCTTTTTCCCCCTGGTTTTGTGGTGACCACTGCTAACCATAGTTCGTGTTAGCCAACTTCATATCCTGATTTCAGATCCAAGTAAAGAAGAGAATCCTGATTTCTACTAACTGCATACCCTCCCATATTTTACAAATGAAAACCAGGAAACTTGTGGCCAAGCAACATCAAAGTATGTTCAAGATGGCAGAGGAAGAACAGACATGCTAAGAGAGGCTGTAGCAGTTTGCTTTGCCTGAGCTGGCTGGGAAGGGAAAGATTTCACCCCCTCCTCTCCTCTCTCCCCTGGTGAGTCAGAAGATTTTGAACTTTTGCACTTTGAACTCACTTTGCAGCAATGGAAGTAACCTGAGAACAAAGGAGGAAAGTAGGAGAAGGAAAGAGAAAGTGGGACATTTTGAAAGTTGCTGAAAAAGTGGGAGGACAGAGGATTAACCGGGACTGTCCCTACCAAATCAGGACAGTTGGAGAGTATGTAGTTGTGGTTTGAGTTACTACAGAAGTAATGTTAAATCATGGTTAAGAGAGACAGAGGAAAAGGGGGGAATTTGTGTTGAAGAAGAACAGGGACCAATTGGTCCTGATACTGGTATTTAAGAGGCAAGATGCTAACCTTCCCTCTGAACTGAATTGCAAGGTTCTCATTCCTTTCTGATCTCACTGTTTACATGCCAGTGATGTCTGATGTCTCGCCTGTGTTTCCTTGAACAATAAACAAGCAACCTGTATGGGGGGGGATGGCATCATGGCTTGCTAGGCGGCCTCATGGCTGGAGCCCTGCTGCATATGTTTCTTCTGATAGGCCTTTGTGAATGCACAAACCCGCTCTGTTTACAAGTCTCCATTTCCCCCATCTGAGGGAAGAATCTAAGCAATCTTGATTCCTGTCGAGGCAGCAACGCCCTGGCTGCATGCTGGAATTTGTGAATAGCAGGAAATGGAGACACGCAGCTTGTTTATGCTAGGAATCTGTGAGCAACCAACAAAAATGGCCCCCAGACTCCCAGAACAGACCCCACATTTTATGCTTTGTATTTATTTTTATTCAAGTTATTTTTTCTTTCCTTTTTTGACAAAGGAGTAGGTTGCAACAGTTAGATGGAGAATGGGTGAGGTCAAGACGCCACTGAGTTTAGCTTGGCAAGATTTTCTGTTTCACAAGAAAATGAACAAACAAGCAAGCCCTCCACCTACCACCCAAACCCTCCTGTCTCCCTTAGTGGAGCAGCTGGAATATTTTTGGATATCTGTAAAGAGTATTTTTATATCATTGATAAACCTGCTGGAAAAGAACCAGAGTCTCTGCAATCAG